AAACCGGCAACATGTGCTGCCAGCCCAGCGAGCCCCCGGCATCCCGGGCTGCATCCCCAGCAGCATAGCCAGCAGGTGAGGGGAGGGATTGTGCCCCTCTGCTGTGCTCTGCTCTGGGGACCCCCCTGCAGTGCTGCCTCCAGCTCGGGAGCCTCAGCACGAGAGACACGGACCTGGTGGAGCGGGGCCAGAGGAGGCCCCGGAGATGCTGGGAGGGCTGGAGCCCCTCTGCTGGGAGGACAGGCTGGGAGAGTTGGGGGGGTTCAGCCTGGAGAGGAGAAGGCTCCAGGGAGACCTTACAGTGGCCTTCCAGTACTTAAAGGGGGCCTACAGGAAAGATGGGGACAAACTTTGTAGCTGGTCCTGTTGCAATAGGACAAGGGATAATGGATTTAAACTAAAAAGGGTAGATTCTGATGAGATACAAGGAAGAAATTTTCTTTACTGTGAGGGTGGTGAGACACTGGCCCAGGTTGCCCAGAGAGGTGGTCAATGCTCCACCCCTGCAGACATTCCAGGCCAGGTTGGACAGGGGTCTGAGCAACCTGATCTAGTTGAAGATGTCCCTGCTCATTGCAGGGGAGGTTGGACTAGATGGCCTTTAAAGGTCCCTTCCCACCCAAACTATTCCATGACTCTACGAAATCCAACAGCACTAGGAAGAGGAGACACTCCATGGAAATAGTGGCAGATCAGATTAAAACAGACAAAAATAAGCACTTTTTTTTTTTTTAAACGCTGCAGGCCAATGGACTTTTGAAATTGGCTGCCATGGGAGGTTACAGATGTGGACAGCACCAGCAGATTCAAAACAACAGTATACAAACCATTGGACTGCATTTGCTGGTCATGCTATTTCCTGTATCAACACCATGACTATGGATATACCTCCTGGAGAGAAATAGGCCGCTAAGAAGCTGCTGGTGCAAAGATTCTCCAGAATCCGCTGTTGCATCTGAGATACCTCCAGTACATAACAGCTACATGAAACTTGAGGTGACTGCAGCAAAGTGCAGCTGCCATGCCTGCCCTTCACCTGCTGTTTGCAAATGCCTCCGTCCACAAGGTGGTGTAAGGCTTCTGGCAGCAAAATCCCAAGACAGATGATTGTTTTTATTACTTCTGTCACAGGACTGGCTCTAAAGCAAATCTCTTCTGCAAGAGGACAAATCTGCAATTGAAAGTCACATGCAGCTCCATTCTCAGTAATAGAAAAAGTGTAATGGAGATACTGCTATACTTCAGTCTGTCTGTACTTGCATCACAGTCCATTAATATGCTGGCTTACTATACATTGAGCCCAAAGCTTTCCATTAGCTCCAAGCATTTAAGTCCTCAAGAACTTAAAGTCTGTATATACAGAACCAGGAAGACCAAAGAATAACAGGAACATCAAACTGCAGAAAAAAAAAAAAAAAGACCACAACTCTTTTCTCCATATCACAGCAAATTAACAATCTCCTACCAAGATGCCCAAGACAGGTCAAGCAGGGGCTAGATTTGGACTTATTAACCAAACTTAATCTTGGGCTCAATAAGGTACAAGTACAGGCAAGAAAAAAACCCACACAACAGACTCATCCCTCACACACGCGCTCATGCTTACACAGCGATCCACATTTGCTTCATGGGCTTGCTCGTGTCCAGAAGCGAGACAACCACATCTACACAACACACAGTTCAACGCCCTGGTAGATTCTGGGCAGATACAGCTTCCATCCCTTTTCATCAGATCCTGATCCCAGTTACTAACATGTCCAGGATATGAACTTCCCTTGCATTCAGACATCTTTACATTAGATTCCACACTGACTATCTAATACTTTTATTAGCCAGATTTCCTCTTTATTTGCTCCCCTTCCTTACAAAATATCCCAGATAAGCAAAACCTGGCTTCCATATTTTCACACAACACCTAGAATAAAAGAAGAGAAAAAACAGTAGTCAGTTATGCAAGCTGTTGTTGAAGTTGAGTACCTGAATTTAAAATAGGACTATGTTTATCTTTTCCAGAGAAAAGATGTTCTAGAGAAATTCTTCTGAAATCTGTCCCATCTCCTAGGCACAAGGAGAGATCTGGAAGCTAAGCAATTGGTGGCATAGATTATGTTAACAGGACTGTAGCGTTTCTGTGAAATAGTGGAGCACTTCTTCTAGAAAGCAGAAACTGTATGGTTCAGCATCCTTCAGTCTAATATTCATGTACTATGCTTCTGTGTGAATAAACAACAGGCAGAAAGCATTTAAGCATTAGTAAGAGGAGGACAACAACCAAAATACGCATGTCTACTGTGCATGAGATTGTTGCAGCATCAGACTTTACAAATTTAAGCTAAACCAGCATTCAGATAATTTGCCTTTACTATTTTACAATATAATGCTTGGAACTCAAATAAAGCAACCAAAATTCTTTATGAAGAAGAAGAAATAGCATGTGCTAGACATTACCAAGATGAATGGTTTGACTCAGGTGTAAGCAAACAAACAAACAAGGATAAGCAGAGGTTTCAACTCATTCTGTAAGACAGGGAAGGGGTAGCAAGAAAAGAAAAGTGAGAAAGGGTGCAGGAAATTGTTTTAAATTAAAGCCACTGGAAGTTACAAAATCAAAGGTGATTCACCACAGGATGGAGAGGGACCACCAGGAGCTATACAAAACAGATGTTAAGTTTCACTAGAGAAGTTAAAAAACATTTATTGAGCACTTACGGGGCGAGGGGAGACTTTCATAAGAGTCCTCAAAAGAGAGAGCATCTGCCATCTCATAAATCCAAAGGCTTCTTTTAATAGTAAAAATAATTTTTGACACTATCTCCTGCATCTAACACCAAATATTTCAATACCAGATCTCCTGATAAAGTTCACAGAACATCTTTAGATTTGCAAAATACACGCTCTGTCTCGGGAAATGGGACTGCAGTTTTGACAATCTCTACTCAGATACAATCTTGGTGGATCAAAGAAATGTTAACATGGACAAAACAACTAGCAGCTATCTAAGTAATGGTGATTGTGAACTTATAATTATTCTGTGAAAACACTGAACCACTAAGCCAGTGCTATTTGTATTTGAAATTTTGAAAGGGTCAGTTTCCCCAAATGTAATAATTGTAAGTGACTAGAAAAAGATAAACATTTAAAATGAGAAGTGTAAGCTAGGAATTATTTAATGGCATCCTAAATTAGTATCCAAAAAAGAAAGCACTATATAAAGAAGAAAGGTTAAAAAAAATAGTCGGGGTTGTTACAAGAAAAACACGTAAAACTTAAGAGAAACTCAGGGAATCAATAAAACACCAATTGACAATAGCATTAAAGACAGCAAGATTTCAGACCTGCATAAACGCGTACTCTATCATGAGCAGATCCACCATTGGATACTGCTGGTGGAAATAAAAGCAGCAATGCAAGAACGCAGAAAGATTCTGCAGATCCTTTTGATCTGTACCTGGAACAAAACAACAACTGCATTTAATCTCATATAATAGTAAAGAAGGAACAAAAATGTTCATGTATTTTATCAAGGCAGGTCTACAGCAGCACATCCTACAACTAAACATTTTTCAATCAATCAAGTGTCTGACTTTTCACACAGTTGTCTTAAACTAGTCAAAGAGTAACTTTGATGTGTGACATAATAATGCACTAGACTCAATCAACAGCTCAGTGAACAGATTTAATGACTAGTATCATCGATGCTAGTCACGCATAACTTCAGAAAAGGGAGTCAAGCTAACAAAATTCTTGTCCCAAGTACATTACAAATGTACATTCACCAATACAGTGCCTTTGGAATTATCAGAAAGAAATTCACTCAGTACAACATTGCACCTTAATTAAAAAAATCAGCATTGTAAGAAGCTATTAGAGGGACAGTTTAAATGGATTAAAAACTCATACAGGATCAGATCTCAAATGCATCAAACAGGAAAACATAAATAAGCATGTCAGAACCTCGCACTGTACCTCAAAACCAAGTCCTCATGCACCGCCATATAATAATTCTATCAATCATTGGGATAATTAAATGACTTCATCCATATAATTTACAAAAGATATGGAATGCAGTGCTTCAATTCCCAGTAAGTCTATAGGCAATGGAGTCTGAGTTATCATTAGGCATTTTGTTATAAGGCTTCATATAAAGAGCTCCTGGCAGAAATTCTACAGCCTCTGTGTACCAACATTCAAATTAAATTCTCTGGCCTTTTATTATGGATTCAAGAAATCCATAGCTGTAATAGTCACTACCAAATTTGATCAGAACCAATGATCTCACGACCCAGGCAATCTAAAAGCAGAAGACAGAAGATCCTTCACAGGCACTGGACTACTCCATACTTTTCTGCAACTTCCCCTCAAACTTCTGTTGCCAGCTTGTCAGCCCAGGCCAAACTGAACCAGTAGGATATGCTGCTTTCCTCCTGAGAATGCCTTCTAACTGTGCCCTCCACCAGATGCTTAAGATGGAAATCATGACACAAAACCGAAGGCCACCTTGCCTCAGCTAGGATCCAGGAAAGCAAGGACAGGAGAGTTAATACTGCCCTGCTTACTGCTGCATTTTTTCACGTTCTTTCCCCCCTCTTTTCTCCTTAAGGGACTGTGGGAACAGAGCAAATATTAAGAATCTGAGGCCTACTATCAGCAAAACCAATCATATCCTAACTGGAACTATCAACCTCCTTTCCACCTAGCCCTTTGATGAACTCACCTGTACCGCTCATACCCAAATAAACAAGAGGGACCAACTAACTGCATGGCTAGACCTCTGTATCAGCCTGGAGTACTGCTACTTGAGAAGCTTCTCCTAAAATGCCCCAGCACCTGTATGCTGCATGAATAACATAATTCCAGGTAGCACAGCATAATGTCCATTAGGTCTTTCCCTCCCCCACACTCCTTAAAACATGCCACAGCTCTATGTCGTGTTATGGGGCTGACCCAAACAGTGTGCCTACCAGCTACTCCCAGTTCAGCAAACCATACCCCCAGGTAACTCAGGTCAACTCTTTTTCTTCATCCCTGACCACACAGTGGACACGCTCCTCTGCATTGTAATACACCTGCCCACAGCGCAGACGTGGCTCTTCCTGTTGGTACCAGAGCTGTTCATTGAACTCTGGGAAGAAAAAGGCAATTTCTCTGCTGGCTGATGCTTGTGAATCTGTTAGAAAACAGAGAAAAAGAAGATGAGAGATGCCAGTCTGGCACTGCAAATAGGCACTATGTTCCAAAAGGAAGAGCAGAAGCTGCAGGGAAAAGCACCAGGCTCGGTCACACCAGGGCAGGTATGAGTGGAGTCTGCAGAAGTGAGAAAATCATTAACATTGATTCCCAGAAGAGAAAGCAAGCAAAGGCAGACAAAATACCATCATTCACACCTCTCCAAGCTCCAGCCTTTGCTCAACACTCAGCCAAGGACAGGGCTACCTGAGCCATGAGTGGTATTCCTGGTGTCAGTGAGGCCATAAGCTCCTCGGATGGAGTCTGGGACGCTGTTTCGGGCTTGGAATACTTTGGTGGGTCCCATCAGGGATCTCCATAGTGGAACAGCATTCTCATGGGCCAAGATATAAGCCCACATAGGGCCACTGAGAAAAGGACCAAGAAAAAGCAGAAGTAGATATGGCTACAAAAGGACATAGCTCTTTCATTCTTATAAATACAGCAAGTGTAAAGAAGCAAGTAGTGCACCTGCCATGCCGTGCTTTCTGGGAGGTGATACAGACCTACCATGACACTAGACACTGAGACAATAGCTCAGAAGCAAAGCATTTGCATGAATGACCTCCTCCTAGGTGATGGTACCCACAACCTTTGGGGATGGCACCCTCCCAAGCACTACTGTTGTCACAGCAGAGTTGGTTCCTGACATTTCTCCACCCTCAAGCCCAGAGCCTTCCCCCTTGGTACACCACAAGCACCAACTCCCGATGAGATGCATCCTACGCCGAGGTGGACCCCTCCAGATGCAGAAGCATTGCTCAGGCAAGACAAGGGCCCACCTGCAAAGCTTCCTCCTCGCGCCCCACACCGCCCGGCTGCGGGCACAGCAGGTACCTGGCCATGAACTCCACCAGCCGCTGGTAGAAGAACCGCCCTGCGGGAGAAAGGCAGCCCGAGTCACACAGCCCAGCCCAGCCCCGCCAGGGTGGCCCTC